TGTGTGTGTGTGTGTGTGTGTGTGTGTGTGTGTAGGAGATTTAACACTGCAGGGTCTCTTTTTTTTCTCCAGCATGTGTCCTACCACCCTCATTCCCTAAGGAAATGTGTGTGTGTGTGTGTGTGTGTGTGTGTGTGTGTGTGTGTGTGTTGCGGGGGTTATTTTGCCTTCTGTCTAAGCAACATCCCTGGGCTGGATGCCTATTTATTTGGTATAGGGTCTTCTTTTATTTTAGGAAAGAGTCTACAGGATGTTCAGGGTCTCACTACTAGATCCAACTCGTAGTGATCTGCCTGTTTACAGCCTCCTAAGAGTTGGTTCAGGGTCTTGCTATGGACTCATAATGATCATCCTGTCTCAGCTTCCCCAGTGCTGGGATTACAGGGGTGCACCACTGCACACGGTTTCAGGGGCTGGCATGGCATGTGGTATCAGGGATTGAACCCTGGTCTTTGCGCTTTCCAAGCAGGCACTTGGATCACCGAGATATCTATCTCCCCCATCCCCTTGGCTCCAGTTTTAATACTCTTGCCTCAGCTTCAGAGTATCCAGTGCCTGGGTTCCCAGAGGGCATAGAGACCAGTCAAAGTTGGATTTGACTTTGGTGGTCCTCATAAAACCAGAGGGGGATTGATTGAGAGACTGGGTCTTGCTCTGTAGCTAGCCTTGAGCTTTCTGTGATCTTTTCTTGACCTCCTGAGTGCTGGGATTATAGGTGTTCATTGCTGTCCCTAGCCAGAGAGTAGTTCTTGGCCCTACTTGGATTCAGAATTGTATATGCCTTTAGCCTGGCAGCCAAAATCTTTGCAGTTTTTGCTAATTGTGTTGAAGTTGTGGAATTACTAATCAGAAGTTTTTTTGTTGTTTTCTACATAATGTGATCCTCCTTGCTGTACATATTGGTAGGGTTTCATTTCCTTATTTATTGTGTTACTGGGATTTGAACCTGGGCCCTTGCCCACGCTAACTAAGCAAGTGCTGTGCCAGCCCTTTTATATTTATGACAGGTTCTCATTGTCATGTAGGCTGGCCGTGGACTCACTGTGTAGTTCAGGCTGGCCTCAAATTTAAATTCCTCCTGTCTCAGCCTGCTTCATGGTGGGATTACAGATACGGCCCACCATTCCCAGCCAGTAGTTTTTTTTTTTTTTTTAAATGTATTTAGTACAGGGTCTACAGGATCTCACTACTGAGATTGGACTTGTAGTGATTCTCCTGTTTTCAGCCTCCCAAGTGCTAGGATTACAGGTGTTTACCACCATGCCCAGTCTCAGTCGCCATCTCAGGGAGCTGTCTGGCCGGCCCTCAGTAAATAGGTTTTAACTGTTCTGTGTTTTTCTTTTGCAGTACTGGGGATTGAACCCAGATCTTTGGCATTGACGTACAATTCTTATCCCTAAATTTTTTTGAGACTAGGTCATGCTAGTTGCTAAATTGTCCAGGCTTTACCTGAACATGTATTTCCCCTGCCTCGTCCTCCCTTGGAATTGGGATAATAGTAGTGTGCCACCACATCCTGCAAGTAAATACTCTTAGTGTGTTTAATGTGATGTTTTCCAAGCAAGTGTAGTTTAAATGTCAACCCCTAAGTGGAACAAACATGACATTGCTAGTCATATTTTATTGGTGGTTATATTTACTTACTTTCTGGCTTTTTTCTTTTTTTAAAATTTATATATGTGGTGGAGGGTCTTACTATGAAGCTTGGACTCCTAGTGATCCTGTCATTTTCAGCCTCCCCAGCACTGGGATTACAGGCGTGTGCTGCTATGCCCTGACACCCTCCTAACCCCCCAGCATGTCTGGTGGCGGCGGGGCCAGTGCTGCACACAGTACTGTGGATCAAACCCTGGTCCCTCTCCTGAGCTCTCGGCAGCCCTCCTTCTGGCTTTTCTTTGTTTTACCTTTTTTTCCCCCAGTACCAGGGATTGAACTCAGGGCCTTGCACTTGCCAGGCAAATGCTTATTCTACTGAGCTATCTTCTTGGCCTCCTGTTTTTATGTTTTACTGGTTTGTTTTTTTTGTTTTTTTTCCTTTTTGGACTACTCAGCCTGCTCTGAGGGTGTGGCTGGCATGGCTTGTGCTGGGGATTGAACCATGGTTCCCTGCCTAAGCTTGCCTGAGCGGGTGCTTTAGATCACTGAGCTGTCTCTTGGGCCCGTTTCTGGCTTTTTGAGGTAAGGTCTCACTATGTAGTTCGGGCTGGTCTTGAACTCAAAGTGCTCCTCTTGGCTCAGCCTCCTAAGTGCTGGGATTACAGGTGTGCACCACTACATCTAGGTGTTGGAGTGTTTATATGTCCAGTGAACAGCTACTCTGTGCCAGGTATTTAAAAGAAACCCAGGCTAGGCGTGTAGTTTAGTGATAGAATTTGTGATTAGCATGTATTAGGTCCTGGATTTAGTCTCTAGTACCAAGAAGAATGGGAGGAGAAAGCCAAAAAATCCCAGGTAACTCAGAATCCCCATGGGAGTCCTGAATAATAGGGACTATTTTCCTTGCTTATAGATGAGAAAAACCTGAAGCTTTAGATTTAAGAAATTTCACAAAGATCACACAGATTTGGGGAATGTGAGATTTGGTGTTTTGCTTGGCTCCCTGCTCCCTCTCCCTCCATTAAATTTCCCTTTTTTTATTGCTGGGAATTGAACCCAAGGCATGGTGGATGTAGGCAAGTGCTCTTTTTGCTACACATGAACCCTTTCAGAGGGACTCACAGTCTGCTGGAAAAGATTGTAAACCTACTTGTGCTGGCGTGCCGGCCCCACCCCCAGGGCGTGTTGAGAGGGCAGTTGAGACTGGGCATGGTGGCACGTGCCTGTAATCCCTGTACTTGGGAGGCTATAAACAGGAGAATCATTACCAGTCAGATCTAGTAGTGAGACCCTGAATAACATGTACACCCTTCCCTAAAATACAGAAGAAAAAAACCCTACTTGTAAAATCTAGGTGCTTCTAGAATAAAACCAACCTTTTAGCTGGTCCTAGTGGCATATATCTGTAATTCCAGTATTTTAGGAGACTCAAGCAGGAGGATTATAAATTTGAGCCCAGCCTGGGCAACTTAGTGACCTTAGATCCTGTCTCAAGAAAAGATCTGGGGGGCTGGTGAGATGGTTCAGTGGTCTAAAGCATCTACTTGAAACAAGCGTGGCAAAGCACAGGGACCGCGGTTCGATCCCCCAGCACCACATGCCAGCCAGCCCCGCCCCCTGGTGGGCTGAGCTGGCCACACACACACACTAAATAAATAAATAAATAAATGTTTAAAAAAATTTAGGAAAAAAGAAAAGATCTGG